CACCAGCTCGCTGGGCACTGATGCTGCTGGCGACATCCCCCTCCCTGGTTAATGTGAACAAGCCATCCCTGTGCTTGAGCCTAAACCTAATCTCAGCTTGTCAGCAGTGAGGGCTTTGGCATCGGTTTAACTGCAATCCTAAACAAAACGTGCCTTTACCACCACACACGTGGCCCCAAAGAGACGCTGGTGCAGCCGGGGGTGTGGGCACGGGTGCATCCAGAGCCTGGCTGGCCCCTCGCTTGGGGGCCCTTCCATGGGAAAGACCGCGAAAAACCACCCCAGCCAGACCTGGGGGGCTGGTGGGTGCCACGGGGTGCAGGTACCCCCAGGAGGTCACGTCTCCGTGCGGACGTGGTGCACCCTCAGGCGTAGCCGGTTGTGCCGGCGCAACGGCTGCGCGCACGGGGCTTTGAAGGGACCGGAAAACCTTGACACAGTAAAAAGCTGTTTGAACTCCTCATTCATCTTCCAGCCAAGGCGAGATGGTTCCCTGCTGGATAAGCTCCGCTCAGCCAGGCGCGCAAAACAGCTTCTGTGCCTTCACCGGGTAATTATTTCGGAGGGTAATGGCTCTCCCCGGTCCCCGTTCAGCACACCATCACTGCTCACCAAAGCACTTCAGCATGTGTTCAGGACCCAGCCAGATCTCCGGGGGCCCTAAGCACATGCTGAAAGTTAAGTGCAGGCTTAAATACTTCGCTGAATTAGAGTCATGATCTGCTTTAAATATTCGGCTGTGGACCCCCGGCCCCGGCAGCTCCGCTCAGGAGTGCGGCCGAGACTCAGGGCCTGAAACAGCCTTTCTCCTTGGCCTTTTGTACAGCAGGAAAACTTAAAACGCAAAATATATTCCCTGTGGCTCAGCTAAATTGGTGCTGGAACATGTGGAAATGGTTGCTGAGAAATTTCCCCAGTGTAGACACGTCCCTGATTTAATCCTGCTCGTCCCCGCGATGCACGGGCTGAGCCCCAGGCAGCGGGGCAGTGCCGGCATCTCCCGTCCCCTCCGCCATCCCAATCCCCGCAGAAACATCACCAGCTGGCAAACGAAGCGAGGACTGAGCCCCTTAAAGGCTGTAATTTTGTAGGTGTGGATAAAAAGCCTCTTTGATCACGGTTATCGTGGCTGCCGCCACCACGCTGGGACGGGAGGCGAAGGTTCAGCCGCCGCCGGAATTGTCGGCTCTCGTCTAAAAGCGATGCCTGCAAACCAGAGATCAAAATGTAAGATACGTGCAATTAATTTGATTTCTTTTGAAACCGGAGCGACCCGAGGAGCTCTGTGCATCACGTCCAGAGAGGCACTCACCGCTGCAGGACTCGTTTCCCAGTGGG